CCCAGACCCGCACCCACTCCCACACCCAGACCCGCACCCACTCCCACTCCCGCACCCAGACCCGCACCCGCTCCCACTCCCACACCCAGACCCGCTCCGCAGGGCACCGTCCCCGCCGGGAGGGCATCATTCCCCCCCGAGGTCTCTCTCTCGCCGCATGTTGCTGCCCCCCCGGTCGGGAGGGCCTGGAGCAGAGATAGGCTGTAAAAATCAAGCTTTTTTTTTTTTTTTTGCCCCTTGGAAAAGTGAGTTTTTAAGGAAAAATGAATGTTCATGTTTAAGGCAAAGCGTTTCTGTGCTGGCTAAGTCACGTTGGGAGGTGGTTTCCTGCCACTGTGGGTGGTTTGTGTGTCTCGTCTGTATTGAACCATTTATTCATCAGTTACACGTTTAATGTGCTCCTCGGGTTGTGTTTTTGGGGGTGAGGCAGGAGCTGTGCTGTGAGAGTGTTTTGGGTGGGCACAGGAAGAGAAACCATTTAGTTGGGTCAATATTGAGCTGGAAAATGTGTCCAGTCATGGTTTTGGACATCATGGACTATGGCTTATGAAAGGGATATTGCCACAAAGGTGCTTTGGTTATTTGAGTGAAATGTAGGCAGGTAAAAAGAAGAAAAAAAAAAAAAAAGAAAGGAAAGATGTGTGTTAGATGGTTTTTCTCTAGAAAAGGAACATCACCAAAAGGCCTTTTAAATGCAATAAAGTTATTCTGCAGCACATAATAGAAGCAGCTGTGTTTGGAACCAAATGTAAAGATGTGTGTCAGAAAGTCCTTCCTCTTTCCTGTGCTCTTCTCTGTGTGAAAGCTGCTTTGCTCCTCTCAAAATGTTCACTCAGTGTGAAATAGGTGACTGGTGGAGCTGAGCAGGATTCCTTGGTGGGGGATCACCAGGACCTACCATTGATGTGTAGCTTCTCTTTGCACACAGTTCTCTGTGGCCTTGTCTGGGTCACCACCAACAGGAACAGCTCCATGACAAGGTGGGGATGGTGGGACCCAGACTCCCATCCCAGGGACTCCTTACCCTGGACTGGTTTACTCTGGGAACCTCCTGCCCAATTTACAACCATCCTGCCTGGAGGTGAACCGACAAACTTGTTCTCCAGCTTCATTGAAGAGAAGAATCCACAAAGTATTATAGAATCATGGAATATCCTGAGCTGGAAGGGACCTCCAAGGATCATCAAATCCAACTCCTGCCCAGGACACCCCAACAATCCCACCCTGTGCCTGAAAGCATTGGCCAAACAGTCCTGGAGCTCTGTCAGCCTTGGGGCTGTGCCCACTGCCCTGGGAGCTGTTCAGTGCCCAAACACCTCTGGGTCCAACCTAACCCTCCCCTGACACAGCTCCAGCTGTTCCCTGGGTCCTGTCAGTGTCCCAGGGAGCAGAGATGGTGCTGACCCTGCACTGCCCCTCAGAAGGTGCTGCAGACTCTGAGCTCTGCTCTCTTCTCCAGCTGAACAAGCCAAGTGCCTCAGCTGCTCCTTGTATGGCTCCTCTAGAACCTTCACCATCTTGTCCCTTCTTTGAACACTCTCTAATAGCTTTGGATCTTTCTTATATTGTGACACCCAAAACTGCCTCCAGGACTCGAGGTGAGCCCACCCCAGCGCAGAACAGAGCTGGACAATCCCTCCCTCTACTCAGTTAATCTCTGCCATCACTCCCTGCTGAAACAGAGCTCAGGAATTGGGGGTAATTAGATTTCCTTCCAAAGCATGTTCATCAGAGCTGAAACACTGGGGCAGATGTTTCTGTGTCTCTCAGCACTCGTGTGCTTTGTCATGCTGATTTGGGAGGAGGAGGGAGTGTTTCTGGAGAGGTGGGGAAGGACCCTTGTGCCTAGAGTGAGTGACAGTCACTTTAGGATATTTGGTGTCCTGCCTGTGCTCCAGAAAGACGTGATACTTTTGTTTCTCTGACCAGAGACTTCTCATAGTTTCAATTCTAATCTTGAAAGGCATTTGGGTTAAACCATGTGGTTACAATCAGCTTCTCTGCTGCATCTTATCTGTTTGGCTTTCTGTGACATAGCTTTGTAAACCTTTTTTTTATATCACCAGCTTACTGGTCTAACCCCTTCACACACTCTGGGACTTCCACGTGTCTGTCACTTCGGGATGTGTCAGCTTCCTCCTGTGAGATTTCTGCCTGGTTTTAGGGCAGCCGTGACCAGGACAGTGTTTAGAAGATGAAGCAGAGTCAGTGAGCAGCCTGGAAAAAGCACTTGTACTTTTTTTGTGGAGTATTTCTTTCATGCTGAAGGAGGAAGTAAATCAAGCAGCATTTTCAATCCTGTGTTATAGTGCTTAAGAATTCCCTTTGGAGTCAGCCTGTGGTTTTTTGGTTTCTTGCCTACAACTTTTCAGGCAGGCTCATCTGAGCAGCACGTGATAGCCAGGGCATGTCCCTGCATGGGGGAGTGTTCTCTAACTTGGTTTCACAGGCTGGAGAGAGGAGTCCATGCATGCAGCTCTCTGCTCCACGTAGGCAGGTCCCTGTAGCTCATCCATGTCCCTCTCCTCCTACACAGAAACACACCCGTTCCTGTAATGTACCTCACTTCCAGAGGAAAACGTCTTAACTTTTGCTTCTTGGATGCAAAGGAGTTAACTGTGCTGTGTAGCCTATTTTTAAGCTACTTCAATCTCATCTGTGAGGGGCCCAGCAAGATTTCTCAGCTGCATTTCAGGGTCTTTGATTCAGCTGTAGCGTGGGTGATTTTCATCCCTGCAGCTCTTGAAATGAAATGGGAGATGATAAAGGACAAAACTTGTAGTTGGTGCTTACCATGGACACACCTTTGTGTTGAAAACTGAAATGGAAAGAAATTTAGGAAAATGTTTTTTTTCCCTGTGAGGGTGGTGAGACCCTGGCCGAGGTTGCCCAGGGAGGCTGTGGCTGCACCCAACCCTGGCAGTGTTCACAGCCAGGTTGGATGAGCCTTTGAGCAACCTGCTCTGGTGGGAGGTGTCCCTGCCCAGGGCAGGGAGTTGGGGCTGGATGATCTCTAAGCTCCATTCCAACCCCTAAAATTCTAAGATTCTATGTGCAAAGAGCTTCACACATTGATTTTGAAGGTGAAAGGGAGTCCTGCTCTGCCTTCCCCTCCAGTTTAGTCTACATTCTGTAACTTTGACATTAACTGTGTTAAGCAGTCAACAAAATACATGTGACAAACATCTTAAAATCATTCAAGATGGGATCTTGTGCCCCACACATCTCTCTGCAGCCAGGGATAAATGGGGTTTATTCTGTGCTGGCATTGCTGGAACCAGACCCACAGTGGCTGAGCAGTTCTTGGAAAGGAGCCTAGTGACAGCTCCTCTCCTCATTCTTTAAAGATTAGTTTGAGGAACTCTATTTTAGAGAAGTATTCATAGCAGAAGCACTTTCAGATTCATATTTGGCATGTAATGTGTAGAAAAGGAGTGGCTTGACATACAACTCATGTTTTAAGTACCCACTCAGTACTAAATGTATATGCAAATGTCTTCAGGTGGGAAAAGAAAGTTAGTGTTGTGGGATGTTTTGCAGCCTGGTATTAAGGATTTAAATGAGGGAATATCTGGGCTGCTAAGCTTGAGGTGGTAGGAGGTGCTTGGAAGGTTTTGGGTAGATAGAAAACTCTTAAACTTGTGCTTGGGTTGTGGAGCTGAGCCAGACTGACCCTCCTGGCTGCAGCCCAAGAGACACCTTGTCTGTTCCACACATCTCACCAGGGTACACGTTTGTCTCCTCTTTGGTACTGGCACTCACACTCGTCTGATCTCAGCAAACCTCTTCAGGGCCACAGGCAGAAAACCCTTTTTGTTTCATAGAGTTAGTTTCCAGCTGGTTTAAATCCCTGAAACTGAATTCTGCTCCACTCCAGTACTGGAATCAGGAGAGCAAACCTGTCACAGTTGGCACTGTAAACTGGGATCGACTGCTGAACAGCACTGAGATCTCATCACGAATTTGATATACCCCAAAACAAACCCTGTGCACTTCTGTGACATCATACCAAGCAATATGAGTGGGAAAGCTTAATGGCACAGGCCTGGTAATGTGAACTCAGCTATTGATTCTGGGAACTAAATTAGTGTCTCTGTGCAGTGTGGAATTGTGCTGTACAAACACAGAGATTGGAGTCGGTGCCAGTGCAGGGATTTCTGGGCTGTGCTGCCTTTCAGTGGGTAGATGTGTACTTCATGTGTGCAAAACATTGCATAGAGGGGATATAAAATGTTGTGTAAAGGAGATGCCTTGCTCAGAGGGAGAGCCCAGGTGTTCCCAAAAAAGGAGACACCCTTCCTTGTTAAGTGTAAACTGAAATGTTTCCTGGATGGAGCTGGTTTGGCAGTAAATGGTGCTTTGTTCTGCAGAGTCTGTTCCTGGTGTGAGGCGTGAGAGGGAGGTGGGGCTGGGGCTTTGGCCTCATGCTGCAGGAATGGGCCCTGCCTAGGTCAGTTTGTAAGAGCAAGTGTGGTAGGAGAGTGAACCAGAATCAAAGAATGACAGAATCATTTAGGTGGAAAAGACCAGGTGGGTGGGGAAGTCATCATCCCTGGAGGTGTTCAAGGAATGACTGGACATGCTCTGGTCTGGTTGTCAAGGTAGTGGTGGGTCACAGGTTGGACTTGATGGTCTTGGAGGTCTTTTCCAAGCTCAGTGATTGTGTATCCTGTGGAAATCTGACTCTTTTCAAGGCATACCAAAGCAGTGTTGTCCAGCCTCTGCAGTGTCACGTGAGTCTATAATAAAAGACCTTAGACCCACCTGTCTCTGTGTGTCTGTGCTAATTGTGTCTTCTGAAAAGAGCTAAAGTTGTCTCTAGAATCCCATGTGCCTTTTCAAACAGCTTTTAGTATCAACACTAAACCAGAATTGACCCTGTTGTTATTAACTTTACTTCTTTGTCACTGGTTTGTGTTTCAGAGGGTCCCACTATGTTTTCAGCACTGCAGCTCAGCAGAGAAGCACAGGAGACGAGTGTGGCCCTGAAGATCCCCGAGACGAGCCCAAGCATCCTCTGTCTGACTGTGCCTTGGAGCACAAAGCCATCAAATTGGAAGAGCAAGTCCGAGATCTAACTGTGAGTGTGCTGCTGGTGGCTTGGTCTGTCTTTCAGCCCTGGATCATTCTGTAAGCTCTGTACCACTCACACAGTGCTGCTGTGCTGTGCAGCCTTCAGAGCAGCTGTGCTCAGAGGGTGAGAGGGTGAAACTGCAGTCTGCCTTGCCCAGAAACACCATCTGTCAGCAGTACCTAGCAGCAGGACACTGATACATGATCCTGGCAGGGAAAGCTATGTGTTGGAGCTGGTCTGGGCAGTTCTTTCACAGCATTGTACAGAGCCAGTGGCAGGAGCTTTGTGCCAGTTAGCATCAGATGTTGTCATAGAATCGTGGAATGTCCTGAGCTGGAAGGGACCTCCAAGGATGATCAAATCCAACTCCTGCCCAGGACACCCCAACAATGCACCCTGTGCTGAGAGCATTGGCCAAACACTCCTGGAGCTCTGTCAGCCTTGGGGCTGTGCCCACTGCCCTGGGAGCTGTTCAGTGCCCAAACACCTCTGGGGGAAGAACCTTCTCCTGATATCCAACCTAA